ATTATATGAGGTGATGGACATGTCTGCTGACACTACAGTGGCAACCATTTCATGATACTTAAGTGTATCAGATCAACACATTTGACTCTTAAACTTACACAAGGTTATATGCTAATTGTACCTCAGTAAAGGTGGGGAACTAAAGACTTCATCCCCGATTTAAATAACAATAATAATAACCTAAGGCAAGTAGCAGCTGCCCTCTGCTGAGCCCTGCCTCTGAGCTGAGCCTAGCCTGGTCCGGCCACATGAAGCTTAAAGGCATCATCTCACTGGGCCGACACAGTGAGTATAGACATGGTACCGTGTCCTGGGTTATTTCTCAGTGAGGAAAACAAGCACAGAGGCTGAGCTGCCAACGCAAAACTTGACAGAGGGTGAAGGGAGAGCAGACTGATGTGCATTCTGTTTTTGTTGATGATCCTCAGGAATCCTGCACTTCTTGAGGAACTGCTGTGTGCCAGACCAGGTGCTGGAGAGTTGGAAATGAGTCAGACGCCCTCAATCTGAGAAGTGCACAGCTTCCTGGGGGTCTTGGGAAGTGAAAGGTGCTTCCCCTGTACCATGCTCGAGTGATTAACTTCACCCCGGGGATATTTCCTGCATGCACACAGCTACCCTGTTGATTGAAGCCAGGGGACAACTTCCTTGCACTGAATTTTATTTTTTAATTAAGGAGAAGTTTGCATAATATTGGAGTACGAATTGGCAACCCACTCCAATATTCTTGCCTGGAAAATCCCATGGACAGAGGAGCCTGGAGGACTCCAGTTCCATGGGGTTGCAAAGAGTTGGACAAGACTGAGCGACTAACACTTTTCCATAACATAAAGGGAACCATTTTAAAGTGACTCAGTGGCATTTAGCATATTCACAATGTTATGCAACCACCACCTCTTTCACATTCCAAACCCTTCTTATTACCCTCAAAGGAAACCCTGTATCCATTAGGCATTTCCTCCACAGTCCTCCTTCCCCCAGTCCCTGGGTACCACTAATCTGTGTTCCTTTTCTATGAACTGATCTATTCTGTTAAACGGGATCATACAATATGTGACTTTCGTATCTGGCTTTCTTCAGTCAGCATAATGTATTTGAGGTTCATCTATGTTGCAGCATGTATCAGAATTTCACTCCTTTTAATGGCTAAGTATTGATAATATTCCATTGCATGATATATCCATATCATATATCCATATATCCATGAATATCCAAAATTCATGATATATCCATGAATATTCATTCATCCACTGATGGACATTTTGGGGTGTATTTGTCTTTTGGCTATTGTGATCAGTGCTTCTATGAATATCAGTGTAAAAGTATCTCTTTAAGAATCTGTTTGCATTTCTTTCAGCTATACACCTAGAGCTTCCCAGGTGGCGCTAGTGGTAAAGAACGCACCTGCTAATGCAGGAGACATAAGAGACACGAGTTCAATACCTGGGTCAGGAAGATCCCCTGGAGGATGGCATGGCAACCCACTACAGTATTCTTGCCTGGAGAATCCTCATGGATAGAGGAGACTGGCAGGCTACAGTCCATGGGGTCACAAAGAGTTGGACATGACTGAAGCGACTTAGCACACACACACACACATGCACACATACACCTAGAAGTGGAATTGCTGGGTCATGTTGATTCCATGTTTAATTTCTTGAGGAGCCACTAGACTGTTTTCTATGGCAGTTGCATTGCTGTACATTCCCATCAGCAATTTCTCCGTATCCTCACCACTTCTTATTTTCAAAAACTTGAAATAAGTTGGATAAGACTCTTGAAGCCTTATTCAGGTCTGACTCTGCCACAAATTCATTGTGATGTTAATAACATGATAACATATATAATAATAATAACAATAACAGCATTTCTAGTGTGTGTACTGTACCAGGCACTATTTTAAGAACTTTCATAAATTAACTTATTTAATTCCCACAATCATTAATGTCTTCTTTTATTGATGAGGGAAGTGTATCACAGGGGGATTATAACAGGCCAAGGTCACACAACTAATGAGTAGAGATTCCAACCCAGGCAGTTTTAACCCAAGTCTAAGAGGCACACACAATGACAGTTTTCAGCCTCTGTGAAGGAGAAGGGTAGGTCTCTTTGCCAAAGCATGAGAATCCTTTTGCCAGATGAAATTTTACATAGAACCCCAGTCTATTTAGCAGATAGAAAGGAAGCTTCTTGGAGGGTGAGGTCCCAGTTTCCAACCTTCAAGTGGGGCCTTGGGAACTTTGGAGGAATAGGATTTTGGAACCCTCTTGCAAATTCCACGATTCTGAGTGAGATACTAAGAAGTGAGTGATGAGACAAAACCTCAGACTCTCGTCCCATGGCTGGCAAAAGCACACCCTTTGCTTTTAATTTAATGTGTGAGAATAATACCTTAGATTTACGAAGCATATTGGTTTTTCCAGGGACCTGCAGAAGCATCCTATTTGCTGTTAGCGTGAACCCTTCCACAAGCACACTTGAGGATCTATGAGGTCCTAAAGAATCTCTGCTGCTAGGACCGAATGCTCAGGAACAGGGTGAGGGACTGATTTCAATCTTGTGCTAACAGGAGCACCCCACTATTCTCCTGCTTTGGTTTCCACTCTTTCCTGCCTCATCAGTGCAACCTAGTGACCCAGTAACTGTGCACTTACTGTGTGCTGGGCCTGTGCTCCGAATTTATGACACATCATCTCCCTTCATCCTCAAGACAACCCCTTGAGGGAGGTGTGACAGATCTGTGGTCCCTGATCCAAAACCCTGGGACAGATGGTTTGAGAATTCAGAGGGTTTCAGAGTTTAGTAATGAGGTGGCACATGTCACTTGTTGCCTAACATCCCAGGGGACTGGGGCAGTGCTTGCAATCACACACGTTGATATTTCTACAGCAAAACCTATGAATATTCACACTGAGTAAAATAAGAAATGACTAAAAATAGCCTCCCATCAGTGCCGGTTGATCTGGCCGTCAAAGGAGTTTGCCCTAAACTTAGAAATGAAGTTTTGTTTTTCAGAACATCACCCTGTGCTAGCATCTTCATCTGACAGAGAAATGAGGTTCTAAGTGGTGGAGGGGCTTGCCGAGCAAGGGTGACACAGCTGGTGAGTACTGGAGATAGGATTCAAGCCAGAGGTCTGACCTGAGAGCCTACATGTAAACGTGGAGAAACAGCAGACTTATGGGAGAGATAGCTGAGTGCTCAACTCCCTGCCCTGCCACTTAGGAGCTGTGGGATCTGGTAAATCACTTCACCCTGACCCCTTGACTTCTCCGGAGGTTGTTAGAGGACTGTTCTCAAATTTTCCAGCTCTCATCCTCCACATACAGGGTCACGATGCCCTTCCCCACTCACTGAAGTTAGGTGCAGCCATGCGTCTTACTTTGGCTAACAAGTGGAAGTGCGTGTCACTTCTAGCTGGAAGCTTTAGCAGCTGGTTGGTGACCATTAGAGGCTGTTCCTTCTGCCCTAGACCTGAAATGAGGACACAGACTTTGCAGAATAGAGCTTCCAGGGGACCAGGGATGAGCATGCACAAGGGCAAAGACAAATAAATCTTGGTTGTTTGACATTAGTGACTTGGAGCTTGTCTATTCCTGCAGCAAGACCTGGCCCATCCTGACTGACACAGGCTCCTTCTCTATAAACAACTGGTGTGAAGACTGAATTAGGTGGCACAAGTAAAGCTCCTAGTGGTGCCTGGCAATGACATTAGTTGACTCCTTTTCCCATGCTGGGCATGAATTCCCCTGGGGTAAAGAATGATGAGGGGGAAGGAGGGAGTGGGTGGAGGCAGTAATAGCTACCTTGCTCCTTTTAAATAACTGAAATGACTTAACCCAGGAGGTATGCATGGAAAGGCTTTTGTGGATGTTTCTGATGTTTTGAGGAGTAGGCAATGGCACCCTACTCCAGTACTCCTGCCTGGAGAATCCCATGGATGGAGGAGCCTGGTGGGCTGCAGTCCATGGGGTCGCTAAGAGTCGGACATGACTGAGCGACTTCACTTTCATGCATTGGAGAAGGAAATGGCAACCCACTCCAGTGTTCTTGCCTGGAGAATCCCAGGGACGGGGGAGCCTGGTGGGCTGCCGTCTATGGGGTCGCACAGAGTCGGACATGACTGAAGCGACTTAGCAGTAGCAGCTGATGTTTTGAGTCACAGGTGTCCCTGATCCACCCGGGCATTGATGGAGAGGATGGGGCGATGTGGGGGGTGGGGGTGGGGACAGAATCCCAGCCCTGAGGCGAACAGCTGCATAAGGACTCCAGGATCCTGATGGAAATGACAGCTGTGGGCCCAATATCCCCAAAGGCTGTAAAAGGCCCGCCTGTGTCAAGAAGGGGTCAGGAAGGTTAGGCAGCCTGCTGACAGCTGCTGAGCACAGAGGAGGCATGGTGCCTCCGAGAAGGACCGCCAGATGGAGGGAGCGAGGCTGCGGGGAGGAGATTCTCCGTGATGAGAATGCGCAGTTGCCTCAGGACTCGTATTAAGACCCCATTTAGCAACACCGATTAAGGAGCTATAAATAGCACCTGGGCTCTCTCACAGACCATAAAACACACTTCCCTGCTTCGTTCCCAGCCGGCAGCCTGCCCTGCTTAATTGGGGCTCAAAATAAAATACCTGGAATGCCACTTTTGGAAGGAAGGCCCGCGTTGTCATAGTGACCAGTTGCTGAGCTAGGGTTGGGGCAGAGGCTGGACGCGGGGCTGCTGCCGCAAAGGTGGGAAGGAGGAGGCGAAGGGACAGGCGGAGGGGAGGGCACACGGCTGAAGGTTCCTAGGAAATCTGGAACCACGCCGTAAGAGGTGGCGCTGTGTCCACCAATGGTCTATAATGACCGCCCCAAACGGCAGCCTCACCCCCACCCCTTTCTAATCGCTGGGCTGACAAATGAGGACCGGAGAGGCAGAGAGGTGGGCCTGGCTGGTCCTTGGTAGATGGGAGGGCAGAAGATTTGAGTTTCAGTCCTGGCTCAGTCGCTAGACAGCTGGGAGACGTGGGGGTTGGGGGAGCTCCCCACCCTCTGGGCCTCTGGCCTTCTTCACTGTAACAGGAGGGGGCACGAAAGGTCTCTAAACTCTAATGCATGGGGGGGGGGCATCGGAACCCCCACCAGCGTCAAGAAGGAAGAAGCCCATCATGTGCTGAGCCACCTCTAAGATCCAGGCAGTGAAGAAAGCAGGGTGCACGGCAGCAGTCGGGGGAATGCTGCTGTTTGTGTCGTTTGGAAAAACATCTCAGAAGAAAATGTGAGAAATCTGACAAGCACTGGCTGCTTCTGGGGAGGGTGGCTGGAAACGGGTGGGCGGGGGACTTACCACTATTGCTTTAATTAAGCCTAATGAATATATTTAGTGTGTGTGCTTAGTCACTAAGTCGTGTCCCACACTTTGTGACCCCATGGACTGCAGTCCTCCAGGATCCCCTGCCCATGTTATTCTCCAGGCAAGGGCACCGGAGTGGGTTGCCATGTCCTCCTCCAGGGTGCCTTCCCAACCCAGGGACTGAGCCTGCATCTCGTGTGTCTCCTGTGTTGACAGATGGATTCTTCACCATCAGCGCCATCTGGGGAGCTGTAGGAAGAAGTACTTGCAATAGAGGTACCAGCAGCCCCTCTGTGAGGGGCCTGCCCACTATTCTGCCTGATTGGGGGAAACTGATTCTGTGGACTGTTCACCACAATGGTGTCATCCAGGCCTTCACTTCAGTTGCCTTCCTGCCTACGCACTCAGGAATCCCATGCTAATGGGGCACCCCAGAGAAAGCGCTCCCAGGGAGTGTCTTGGCTCTGCAATTTAACTGCCTAGAGAAACTCAGCAAGGCCCTGACACTCACTGGCCCCATCCACAGTCCCATGAAGGACTTAGCCCAGGGCCCCCCCGTCCTCTTTGGTCCCCATCTATACCAGCGGAGGTGACTTGGACCAGGTCCCTAAAGCCTTGTCTATTTGGAACTCTATCTGGAATTTTATTTTATATTTTCTATCTGGAATTTCAAATATCAGCCCAAGCAGGGCAGAACAGTGAGAGAAGCCCAGTCTAGATAAACAAGTCTCCCAGTGAACATCCGAGAGCAGAGGAGGATGTGTACGGAAGCTCCAATTCACATGCAAGTGTGTGTGTTAGTCACTCAGTCATGTCCAACTCTTTGCGACCCCACAGACTGTAGCCCACCAGGCATCTCTGTCCGTGGGATTCTCCAGGCAAGAATACTGGAGTGGATTGCCATTCCCTTCTCCAGAGGATCTTCCTAACCCAGGGATTGAACCCTGGTCTCCTGCATTGAGCTACAGGGAAGTCCAAGATATTACTTGCAAGGCTCATCTGTAAATCCGGAAACTCTAAGGAAACACCTCTTTTCTTTCAGGTCTCTTAAGTCACCACTGAAATCTGTCTTCAGCGTGACTGTCCTCTGTGGATGGAAGCATGAGAGGACAGAATACAGTTGTCACCAAATGAAACTTCCCAGGTGGAAAGAAGTGATGCTATCAGAAAGACAGCCCTGATAATCACCCTGATTTACGTGAAAGATCAATCATCTGTTAACTTTCATTCTACTAACCTTTATGTTAGTTACTAATGGATTTCTGATGGTTTTGCCTCCAGCATTCTTTACTTTCTCCTTTAGTAAAACATCTTTGGATTCCCTTGTGGAGTGTGTTTGTTCCTGAGACTTTGCCCCCTCCCAGCTCCTTGGGTGGAGCCTTTGACGGGCTGAGACAGTCAGGGCTCCTTCCTTGACACCAACCAAGGAGCGGTGGCTGCGTGGGCGCAAGAGGGCTGAAAGGAGCTACTCCACGTTCAAGGTCAGGAGGGGTGGCCGTGAGGAGATACCCCTCGTCTAATGTAAGGAGTAGTGGTTGCGCTTTGCTGGAGCAGCCATGAAGAGATACCTCACGTCCAAGGTAAGAGAAACCCAAGTAACATGGTAGGTGCTGCAAGACGGCATCAGAGGGCAGACACACTGAAACCATAATCAGAGAAAACTAGCCAATCTGATCACAGGACCACAGCCTTGTCTAACTCAATGAAACTAAGCCATGCCGTGTGGGGCCACCCAAGATGGTCGGGTCATGGTGGAGAGGTCTGACAGAATGTGGTCCACTGGAGAAGGGAATGGCAAACCACTCCAGTATTCGTGCCTTGAGAACCCCATGAACAGTATGAAAAGGCAAAATGATACGATACTGAAAGAGGAACTCCCCAGGTTGGTAGGTGCCCAATATGATACTGGAGATCCGTGGAGAAATAACTCCAGAAAGAATGAAGGGATGGAGCCAAAGCAAAAACAATACCCAGTTGTGGATGTGACTGGTGATAGAAGCAAGGTC